TGTTGCCATTCAAAAAAGTAAAAACTTAAAAAATGATAAGGATAAAAAATATTTAAAAATATAATTTTTTAATAAAAGCATTGATTTTTTAACAACTTGAAACTATGTAAAAAAATATTTTGAAAAAAGTCAATACTTTTTTAAATAATGAGTGTTGTTTAATAAAAGAATCACCCTGAATATAATTGTATAACACATTATTTTAATTCTAAGTTGTATAACTAAATTCCCTATCGATAATAATTGATAATAGATCAATTATCAACATTTTTAATGTTAGGGAATTTTTTATACTTAGGGGACTGGAGCGTATCATATTTTAAGGAATACAATTTAGACAATTTATATGACATGTACACTTGTACTATGTTTATATTGGGAAAATGAACATTATTGTGTGTTTCTAAGAATCATTGTCATGCCTTAACTACTGCTGAATGGAACTCTTGCACATGACAATACAATAATATTATATTCTTGTTTGCATAACTAAAAAAACTACTAAAAACGGCAATAAATTAATCATATCTACTGAAGTCTGATTATTCAAAAAAAAACTTAGAATTTAAAAACATCTATACTATGTTCTTTAGGAATCACTTTTATTGATTTAAAATTGATTTCCTTAAAAGCCTAAAAATTTTGTCAAAAAATGCATATATATACAGGTGATTCTTTTATCAAAGAACACTCATTATTTAAATAGTATTGACTTTTTCAAAATATTTTTTTACATGGTTTCAAGTTGTTAAAACCCAACGTTTTTATTAAAAATTACATCTTTAAATATTTTTTAAGTTTTTTACTTTTTTGAATGATAACATAGAGTTTTAATTTCATATTCCAAAGCAGAATATTTTTTTAAGTATTTTTATACATAAAAATCGAATTTAGGGCTAGTAGTTTATGAGTTATAAGTATTTAAAGTTTAGATTGGCAGAGTAGAGTGGTACAGGGTTACCCCGCAAAATTTTTGTCCACTACTCCGCTTGTCTAATCTTTAAATACTTATAACTCATAAACTACTCGTCCTACATTCAATTTTTATGAATCAAAATACTTAGAAAAATATTCGGCTTTTTAATATGAAATTAAAATTCTATATTGTGATTCAAAGAAGTAAAAAACTTAAAAAATGATAAGGATAAAATATATTTAAAAATATAATTTTTTAGTAAAAATGTTGGTATTTTAAGAACTTGAAACCATGGAAAAAATATTTTGAAAAATCATTTTTAAATAATGAGTGTTCTTTGATAAAAGAATCACCCTGTATATATATTAAAATCGGACAATCCAAAGTATGTCCAATTTACTACTGTTTATTGGTCTAAAATGTACAAAAAATATGCGAACTTCAATCCCCTTAATAATATATATACCTTGATTGATATTACCATCATCATCATCTTCCAAGTCATCACAATCGTCATCTTCACTTTCAGATACATGCACTGAAACTTGACTAGTATTAGGTTTAACCCATTCAAAGTAAACACCAAAACCTATGTCATGACCATCAGTTGCAAACTCCCAAAATACACAGTTACCGCCTTCGGCTGTTGGAACTCTAACCTATAGGACCAAAAAATAAACAGGACAATCAGTTTTTAAAATAGTTACATATTTTTAAAAACAATTAATAATTTTATACAGTAAAATACCAAAATATAAATAGTAATTTAAATAATTACCGTAACAGTTTCTCCATGATTTACTTTAATAACGGCTTCTCCACCTTCTCGTAATAAATTAGTTTTAAATTCATCAATGTCTTTTCTTGTCCACATTGAAGCAGGAAACAATGTTTGAACAGAGCCTATTAGTTAAAAAAAAAAAAATTATTTAATGAAATGTGTAAGAAATTAATTCAAAATATACATTCTCCGGAAAGACATTGCCCATTTTCACATTGCTCATTACAGATGCTCTCGTGTTCAATAATTTTATCTCCAGGAACAGTTACAGAGTTAGTGGTGATTTCCAATTCTTTACCGGGCTCGTAGTTTTGTTGTAACTGTTGCATATACTGATGATAATGTTGTTCTTGTAATTGTCTTACAAGTACAGCTTGCTATTAATAACATGTTTGGACTGCTTAATCATTATACCTTTCTAATAACTATTAAAGTCAAATGTGTGGTAATTTTAATAGTATACTATTTACCAAAAACTGTTATGTCACATATTATACTACCTATTAATTAAATASAGTTTCTTATACTTTATTTTTTGTTGATTATCATTAATATATGTAGATAAAGTATTTTAAGTGACCTAAAAAAACTTTTAATACATTTTAAAGAACAGCATTACTTATTACCACTATTCCTTTTGTAGAAAAATGTGTAGCAATTTGTGTTAATTCTAAACTTAGAATTAACAAGTATCCCATATGAATTCTAAAATGTGTTTGTGCAACCATTGTTAGGATCAACAAAAAGCACAAAATGGTTGATTATTCCATGAAGAWAACGTAAATTTGTTAGATTATAATGTTAAATGCTTTCCACTTATCCAAAGAAGTTATTGTCTCCAATTAAGAGGACGCTACACCCGCATGTGTTGTCTCAGTCTTACAAGTACGTAACATTGCAATAACTATTTTGCGCGGGAAAGAACCGAGAAAGCTACAGTTATAACTAAGAAACKAAATTTTCACCACATAAAAAGGAAAATTTTGTCTGTGCAATATCGTTTTTATTTTTTCGATATCAGAACTACCAAAAAAGTTACTCATGTTTAAAAAAACACAAAATTAATATATTATAAAATAATAAGAATTTTTTTGTATAAATGATATCGAAAAAATAAAAACGATATTGCACAGACAAAATTCTCCCTTTTATGTGGTGAAAATTTCGTTTCTTAGTTATAACTGTATCTTTCTCGGTTCTTTCCCGCGCAAAACAGTTTTTGCAATGTTACGCACTTGTGAGACGGAGACAACAAATGTGGGTGTAGCGTCCTCTTAAGAGAACCAATAACGTTTATACCTATTCAATTTTAGTGGTCGTTAGTTCAATTATCAGTGGACAATTTAGGATTTTCTCATAAGGGAAGGTGACATTTTTTATGTATATAAAATTATTGCATAATTTAAGTTATTTTATTTTAATCATAAAACAAAATTTAATTTTCTTGATGAGCTTGCTTATTTTTTTTAGTACATAATGAGGTAAGAATGATCCCCATATCACCTAATACTATTCATATTGTTTAGTTTGATGATCAATTACATGCAAAATTACTTTCCCATACATAAATAAAAATATAAAACCAAATATGGAAAAACAATTAAATTATAGGTAGTATACGACACCATTGAAGTTACTGTAGATAGCATACACTAAAAGTACCAAATATGTATGCCCTATTAACAAATATAAATGAATAAATTAGTTAATGAAATATTACTTCATCCGGATTGTTTGGAAATTGATTCTGAGCATATGTTAAAAACTGGCTGTAGGTTTGTTTATTTAAAGCTTCTTGAATAAGTTGTCTAAAATAATAATAATAAATTACAATCAGTAACAAAAATGTATGATATCTTCAGTATAATTATTATAATTACTTGGTATTTTCCTGTCTATATCTATCTTCTTCATCTTTTTGTTTTAATTCCATTAATGCCAGTTGTTTTTCTAGTTCTTCCTGTTCTTTTTTCATATTTTCATCTCTGAAATATTATAAAAATTAAATTATATAAATATCATATTAATATCATAACTAAATAATAGTTACGTTATTCGTTTTTGTTCAATCAAATCAGCTTTATAAGCTTCAACAGTATGTTTGAATAAAGTACATTCTTTATTCACTAACTTAACAAAATTAACCATGGAGTTTTCTGTTGACATATCACCAAGTGCTTGCCATGCTAATCTAAAAATGTTTGATATTTTTAAATACAAATACTTAGAGTATCATCACATATTTTCTATACCTTCGATCTCTTCCAATAACATCAAATACACCTAAAGGTGGTAATTTTGATTCATCCAACTTTCCATGGCTAACTTGACGTGTATATGCAACAAGTTTTAATTTATCATCATAAGTAAAATGTATTGCTTTACCTTCTTTTTCTAAAACATAATAAATAATAAATTACCTAATTAATAATCATAATTTACTGAATACCTAAGTCACAATTATTATT